GCCTTGGGGTTTCAGGGCTTGATTGGTCCCGGTGTCACTGCAGGCACAAACCCCGGGGGTGTGTCCCTGATTATCGAGCACAAATATAAATATTAGTGAGCCAGACTGATGGCAGGTGGAAAGAGGAGTGGGGGCTGGGGGTGTTCTTTGAAGCACGGGGTTAAAACACACTTTGTAATCAGTTAAAAAGGCTGAATTTATTACAGGTAAGGCATTGGAATGGCTCTTCTGAGCTTTACAATTCGGTTTAAAAGCTGGGTGGGAGTGGGAGGGAATCCCGCTGGGCTGTGGGCTCTGGGGGGAGCTGGGCAGGTGAGGGGTCAGTGCTGGAGCCACCTGGGTTCCTGTAAGCTCAGGAAACAGGGATTGAAGCAATTCCTTCCCATGGAACACCCCCTGATGCCCTCAGAGACCGAAGGTCAATATTTGCCTGTGCTCTGGCAAACTCCTTTTTAGAGGGATTACGGTGAGAAACTCTTCGAGCCTGCTGTCACTCCCCCAATTCAGGTGCCTAACAGAGGGCACGAAAGGCTGGCATTTATTTCCTTACCCATTTCACTTGCTTACTGATGCATCCATCTGCTCTCAGGAGGGGCAGCCAAACAATGCCCTGGCAGGGTGTGAAGGGAGAGGCTGAACAGCCCGGGGCTCTTGGCAGCAGAGGAAGGAGCTCAAAGGCAGAGACTTTCTGCTGTTATGTCACCTCCCAGGTACAAGCAAACAGCAAAGAGCCCAGCAGTGTGTCAGGAATTCAGAAAAAAAGGGTATTTCGGTCAAAAAAAAAATCTCACTGTGGCCCTGTGCTGGATTTGAAAGGAAGGGGGTGTTGAGGTGGTTCAGCTCATTCGCTGCTGGTGGTGTAAAACAAAGGTGCCAAGTGGAAGGGCCAAGCTTGGGGTTAGTTTGCTTTAGCATGTGCTGAGAGGGGGATGATTATTATTATTATTATTAGCCATGGAATGTCACCTCCTCCCTCACTTGGGACCAGCTGATCTGGGGCATTTCCCAGGCCCAAAGCCTTTCCACAGGAAGGTGTCAGCTCTGCCTGGCCCAACCTGTAGGGAATTCCCAGGAGATGCCCTAAGTTTGTCCTGTCCAGGTGAGGTGACCTCGTGGTGCCTCTGTTCTCCCTACACCCTCAGGAAATAATCTGGCATTTCTCTTGCAGAAGCTGCTGCTGATTCAAACACACAAATACCTTGTTCAAAGCTCACACTTCAGTGCAGAAATGGAATTTTGAGGGACTGGGGCTTTCCTGACACTGCCCTTTCCATCTGGTGACTGAAAAAGCAGGTTTGTGTGCTCAGCATTTTCCTGAAAACTGGAGAGAAAACACACATTTAGATTTACAGCATTGTACAAACGCTGCCATTTCCACAAAGCCTCTCTGGGCTGCTCAGGAACCACCCTGCCCTCCGTGCCTCCTGCTGCAGCTGTTTGCTGGGGGAGCTGGAATATTCGGGATATTTTCACAACAGCAGATTCCATCTCTCACACTCCTGCACTCGTGGGTCTGCCCTCAGCCTGGCTGAGCTCCAGGGACACCCAGTGATGAGCACCCCTGGGTGCTGTGGCAGGGCCTGGGTGGGGAGCAGCCAGGGAGACACTTTTGGGGATGCCTGAAGATGGTGTTCAGTGGAGCTCAGGGTGATGGATGCCAAAGAAATGCCCCAGGTAGGATCTCTGCTGCAGGGTTTGGTGCTGATGCCTCCCTTCACTTCTCCCCAGCCCTGTTTTAATCACCCTGTGGCAAACCCACTGGGCAGGAACTGAACCCCTGGGGCTGCCCAGGAAGAGGCAGGTGCTGCTGACAGGGGTGAAATAATCCCTGTCCTTTGGCAACAGATCCCAGCTGTGACAGATCCTCCCAATCCCGAGGATAAGGAAGGGGTTAAGTGTTGTTTGGAAGGGCCTGAGAGCCCTTGGCTAAAACTGTCCCTGATGTCTCCTCCCCTGGGCCTTCCTGGAGCTCTCTCTGCCCTTGCTCCAGGATTTTTGGATAAGTCCAGGCTTGCTGAGTGAAGTTTTGTTCAGCTGGAGGACCCCAAGGACGAGCTCTCCTTTGCCAGCACAGCCCAGGTTTGGATCTGCTTTTATATCAGAATATTTTGGGTCTGGGGAGAAGCCTGAGTAGATCTTTTTAGGGGAATATAAGGTGAACCCCTGAGTGAGGGGCTGGCAGGGAGGGAATGGAAGCTTTCCTCTTGGGAGAAACATCCAATTGGATATTAATCTGCTGGTTGCCAAATTCCTGCCTTTAACAGTCCTGCTACTCTTACATTTAAAACAGGGATTTTGGCACCCTCTTTTTGGTGTTTTTCTGTTTTCTGGTGTAAGTGCAGCATGGGCAGAGCTGGGGAGGAAGCAGGGGCAGGAGCAGGAAGCTGGAATTCGCTGCTGGGGTGTTTGAAGCTGTGTCTGGGCTGCCCTTGGAAGCAGGGGAGGAAAGGCAGCAGCTCAGTTCCTTTTGGAAGCTTTTTGTGCTAAATCTGAGCCATGAATCACTTCCCTGATGACTCCTGGGCAGCTCCTAAAGTGTGTCCAGCAAAACTCACCCTCCTTCATCTGCCACTGTTTCCTTTTGGATGTTTAGTCTCTCACTTCATAATATTTATCTAGACTAAATTTCTTAGCAAATGCAGAAGGAAGTGAATTATTCATCCTTTTGTACCTTAATTTTCCTCAGTAGTGTATCAGCTGCTAATCTGAATATCACTTCCTGCTTTCAGATTGATAAATTCCTGGTTGCTGTGGGAACCACAGATTTTTTTTTTTTTTTTCCTTTACATATTTCCCCCCAGTTCTTTCCTTCCTGTACTGGCAAGCGAGTCTGACCTTAAAAGCACCAATATCTGCTTATATCCAAAGAAATTGTGTCTATAAATACATTAACTACTGTCACTTGCCACTTGTTGTGTTTAAAGTATTTTAGGTCGTTGCAGAGTTTCGTTTCTGGGTTGGAATTTTTTTTTTTGTGAGTTTGATTTGCTTGGGGTTTTTTTTTATTTTTTATTTTTGTGGCCAAATAAAAGGTTCTCCTGTTGATGAAATGCCTTCTGCAGTTGGGAGTCCTTGAATCAGCTTCCCAGTGAGCTGCACCTGTCCCTGCCCACAACAATGCTGAGGTTTGGGACATTGTTCCAGCTTTAGGGACATCCTGGGGGGGACTGAAACCCAGCAAGGTCAAGGCCACTGATTCTGTTGTTCCTGTCACTGAGCCACTGGCTCGTGCTGACCTTTGATCCACCTCATTAACTTTAATTGCTGAGGGAATAAAAGCCCTGTCCCATGATTCATCTGATCAATAAAACAGAGGAGCGCTGCTCCACCTTCCAGTGGAAGTGTAAATTATGAATATTTGATACCAGCTATTCACTTCCTGCCACTCTGACCCTCTGCACATCCTGGGGAAAAAAAAAACACAACAAAGCAACAGAGGAATCCTGTCCTAGATCAAAAACTGAAGGCTGGGTTTGGGAAAGGCTGTGAGAATTTCAGGACTGAGATCAGCAGTGGAAAACACTCACAGGAAGAAGCCTGGAGATGCCTAAAGCAGCTCCTGTCAGCCTCTTGCAGAGCAATGGAGGGATTAGAACAGTTAATACAACTTTTGGTTTCAGCTCTTCTTAATTTAAAATAGTTTTGAGGAACCTGTGTTGTCAAACTTGGGCTGCTGGTTGTGATCTCCCGTTGCTGCTTTAAAAACACGTTGTTTTCACATGGAATGAGGAGTGTTCTCCCTGAATCCTGACTGTGAGCACGTCCTTCCAGAGCAACCCCTGATAAGCAGGGATGACCCTGCTGGCCTGGCTGTGTCTGGGAGCTGCAGAACCTTTTCTCTCTCTCTTTTCCTGTGGCAAATAAGGAAATCTTCATTTTTGCTTTGGGGTTGTGTGTGGTGTGTTTCTTGTTATGGCACAAATTCTGCCACATCAAACTTAAACAAAACAAACAAACAAAAAAAAAACCTCAAATAAATTCCCTGGAAATGCCCTGAGCCATAAGTGAGCACCCAGGGGTGCACTGAGCACCTGCTGCCTTTGCTTCCTGCTCACCATGATAAATCCATGGAGATAAGAGGTTATTCCTGCAATAAAGGGGTTATTGTGCTGCTCAATCAATAACCCTTTGCCCCCTTGTTTCTCAGGGCATTGAAAAGCTCATTTACCTGTTCAGTGGGACAGGAGGGAGAGTGGCCATTGCTGGGGCTTGGCTGTTTTTCCAGAGGTTCCTGATCCATCTGGGATCTGCTGGAAGCACCAGGGAGGGGTCTCCTCTCCTGCCCCTCTGTTCCTGCAGGTGCCTGTGCTGTTTTGTCTCAGCTCGTGCAATCTCTCCTCCAGTTTCTGCTGTGAAAACACCCAAATCACTCAATTGGGTTGAAAGGGATAAAAACATCCCCCCCTCCCCCCCAAAAAATCCCTTTGGACCAGAGCAGTGCCCAGCTCTGAGCTGCCACCTTTTAGTTAAAAAGCTCCCAAGGCCTGGCCTGAAATGGCACTGAAAACCTAAAAGGGGTTTTTGGTGCCTTAAAAGGGCACTAAAAAGTGCCTAAAGGACACCTTGAAATGGGGAATTTGGCAAGGGGAAAGTGCTTGAGACTGATTTTGGTTTTTGAACTCTTTTTGGCCTGTGGGATTATTTCTATGGGAGGATAAGTTGGTGTTACAACATAATCCTTAACTCTGGACTCTTTTATTTTATAAGCATTCAGTGTGTGCCTTCCCAAGGGATTCAATCCCTTCCTCCTTCCAGGCTGCTGCAGCTTCCAGGGCACCACCTTGTGGTGGTGGTAAAATCTGTGCAAAAAAACCTGACAATTCTTGGAATTGCCTTTTGGGATTTAAAAATGTTATTAAATTTTGGTATTGCTATGTCCTGTTCTATTTGAAATCTAGCAGCCACCTCCCCCCAAATATGTTTAAATGGGAATCCATGAGAGTTTATGTTAAAGTGCCAAAAATTATGTTCAAAGATGTAGCTCCAGTACATAGCAAACTTATTGAAAAATAGGTATTTATTAGATATATTAAATAATAATACCTGCCCATATAAATATATTCAGCTCAGGTTCAGCACACACACACACACACACACTCATTCTGCTTTCAAGACTGAAAACCAGCTCCAGCCCAGTAATTTCCACACTTCAGGAAGCTGAGGGAAGGTTTCTTCAGTGCTGGGTTCTTTCAGCAAAGCTCTACTTCTGACCATGTAAAAGAAATCAAATCAAAGGGTGGTGTAGCTGGAGATAACTTGTTCCAGGGTTGTGAAGCTGTCCAGGAAATCCTCCTCTTCAATTCCAAACTTGGTGTACTGGTGAATGTAAGCTCTGTGTGGGGAAGGAGGGGTCAGACAGTGGGAATCACAGATTGGATATTTACTGGGGAACCCCCAAATCAGGACTGCTTTCCACCCAATAACTGTGCTGGGGTTTTTGTTTTGTTTTGTTTTTTCTGTGCTCCCTTGAACTCACTTTGTAATTAATTCCTACTGATCAGGAAGTCCTGACTTGTTCCTAATAGTTTTTATATCTGTGTATTGGTTGAGGGAACGGAACTGCAGCTAAAAATCCTGGGCTAAGTGGGAAGTGGAAGGGGAAGTGGTGAATGGCACGGGAGCCTTGACAAACACAGCAATCCCCTCAGTGCTGCTGAGCCAGGAAGTTTTCACAGGCCTGGGCAGCATCTCTGCACACATAGATGGAAACTAAACCATCAGTAAGAGCTGTTGTGGTGTTTTTAGGATGGCCAAACTGGAATGCACTAAATCTGGGGGAGTTTTGGGGACTGGGAAAACGAGAGCACTGCAATGTGTGGTCTCACTGCCTTACAGTGATTTCTCTCCCACTGAAGGTACTGGCAGTGGTTAGTGAAGCCTCAGCACGACTCTTCTCACTTACCTGGAAGCAAACATATTCCAAGCTTTTCCCACAATGCTGTCCAGAGGTCTGAGCAGGAACTGGCTGTTGCTGACCAGGGAGGCAGACTTTTCATACTTGTTGAATGCCCTCGGTGTTCTCCAGGCATTCCAAGCATCCCGAGGGTTTAGCCATGATGTGTACAGGGAGGGATCTTGGAAACTCCCTGGAGCAGAGATAAGAAATTGGACAACCTGGCCTTGGACACTGAACTGTTTCTAGAGGGAATATTGACCTTGGGAACCAAACAGGGGCCTTGGGGTTTTTTTGGGAAAGAAAGCAGAGAGATGTGAAACAAGAACCCCCAAGGTTTGGGGCTTTTCCCCCTCACCCAAGTCCACACTGTGCACATCTTTTCCTCTCAGGATAACCAGGTTGGCAATGGAAGTGTTGAAGTGCAGTGGCCTCTTGGTGGAGTGGCTGGAGGGGGTGGAGGAGCCTGCAGGAGGTGGTCGGACTTGCCAGTCAATACCTGTGAGATTTTGGCAAAAAAAAAAAAAAAAAGAGAGAAAAGACAGTTGATGGTTTGTGAAATGTGGATTTGGACAGGCTGAAGAGGCAGATGGGAACTGTCACTGTGCCCCAAAGTGAGAGCATACTGGAGTCCGTAGCTGCTGCAGGTTAATTAAGCAGCAATGACACAATTCCCAGGGGAAAGCAGTGCTAACCCAGCAGTGTTTTCCTGGTAGTCACTTGTCTACCAGAGGAAATGATACCTGTTTGTATACAAAGCACTTGCCAGCCCATTCCCTGCATTCCTGGGAGCTACAACTGGATTCCCCACGTAAATGATAGAGAGCGAGCTGAGCAGGATTTTTGTGACTAGAGGGTGTCAAAAGAAAACACAGAGCTCCCTACCCAAATGAATGATGTAAATTGAGTGCACTGCCCCAGACTGTTGGTTTGGTCTGTGAGTTTTCAGTGGTTGTCATTAACTGAGGTGTCTGGAAGCAAAAGCAGGAGCAAGCTGAGGGGATGGGTCAAGGAGCAGCAGGAGGCAAGTCCTGCTGAGGGCTCTGCAGTGACTGAAGGGAGCTGCACCAAACCACCAGCTTTGTTCCACCTGTACAGATAACTGCTGGAAGAGCGAGGGGAGGGCAGGGAATGCTCTGTACCTTCCTCCATCTGGGCATTAGCAATCAGCATCTGCCTCAGATGTTTGATGAGCCCAGGCCAGCTGAAGGTGCTGTAGGGGAGGGAGCTCTCAGCAATCTGAGGGATGTTCCGGAGACCCAACATCTTGAATTCGGGGTGTGGGACCAAGGTCTCCATCAAGTCTCCTGGAAGAAGAAATCAGCTGCTCACGTTTGACCAAAAACACCTGCACAGGGGTGGCTAAAACAGGAGGAGAGAGGGAGGAATGTTGCAAAGATTTAGCAGTTTCAGACAAAGCATTGCAAGCTTGCTGTGTGTTACTGAGTTCTACACATTAATAGTTCTGATTTTACAGTGTCTCACTGCTCACAATCTGCAGGGCCCTGTGCACTGCTACAGAGATTGACAGCCAGGAGTGAAAAGCTTTCATTTTACAAGCAATATTGGGTAACTTTCTCTAGTTCCTTGAGGGTATAAAGGCCAGCCTGTTGCTCCCAGTTTGCCTGCTCACCCGTTTGCTGCCCCAGCAAAACACAACACCTTCAGTTTGTTCCAGTTCACACAAGTTCCTGGCCCAAAGTGAAATGTGAAACTCAGCCCAAAAGCACCGTCCTGCACAAGTCTCCTCTGCAATGTAAATAGGTACCAAAATGTCTGCAACCACTTGAAAAAGGAGAAACGGGGTTCTTCTGGTGAAGAATGAAAGCAGAAGCTGGGGGGATTATCTGTGGGCTCTGCTACAACACTGGGAGTGGACTGAACTTCTAAATTTGTCTTTTCCTTCACTTTTCCTGCCTGAAAACTTGGGATGTACCCAAATACTCGAGTAAGGAGACTGAAGAAGTGGAAGTGCCCCCTGAGCTGCCCAGAGAGAGGTGTGTGAGTACCTAGGGGGTTCCTGCTGTAGCCTGGGCCCCCCTGGGCGCTGTGGGCGGGCTGGAACACGCTGCCCAGCTGGTGTGCAATGACCTGGTTCACGTCCCTGAAGGAGATGTGCCTGATGTTCATCAGCTGGGCGCAGATCTTGTGGATCACGTCGTTCTGGTGGACCAGGAGGGCGTCTGCTGAGCGGTACAGATGGGACAGGGTCAGAACGCTGTTGTAGTTCTGGACGATGACCTGGGAACAAACAAACAAACAACAAGCCCCACACACATGAGAGTCAAACTTAACCCCTCTCGAGTTCATCATCCTCTGGCTGCTGCTGTTTCCTCAGCTGAGCTTTGGGAAGTGCAGAATGAGGTCAGCAGCTCAGAGCTTTTCCAGGGAAAGAGGGCAGGACCCGTGAAAATCAGGTTATCCATCTCTCTCCATGCAAACACGCTGGAACAACATCTACCTGGGAACTGATTGTACTGCTGAGATAAGATCCTAGCAGGAGATTTCTGGTGCTTGTGAAACGGCACCACTTCAGCACTTTAACTGTGCACAATTTGTTTTGGTGAAATTACACGTACCGAATATCAGGCAAACAATCCTTTAGCTGCCTTATTTAGTCCTGTGAACTTTGTAATAGTAAAATGTATTTATTTTCTAGCTCATTTCTGTTGTAGATATTTTCTTTTCAAGCAAGCAGTGTTTATAAACTCATAAATTCTCTACAAACTATAGATAAAAAGGCAGTGTGACAGTCACCTCACCGGTGCCAAAGGGCCAGATGACGTGGTTTAGTATGAAAGAGGCTGGAAAAGCATCTCTCAAGCACTGGGTCACAAAGGCTCCCAGGCCTGAGCCTGTGCCCCCAGCCATGCTCATGGTGGTGACAAATCCTCCCAGGCGGTCACACCTCTCTGCTTCCTTCTGCACCAGATCCATTATTGATTCCTTGTGCCTGGGCCCGTGCACAGAGTACCTGTGGAGCAACAGGAGAGCAGGAAGATGAAGCTATCCGTTAGGCAGGTTTTATCATTATTTCTATGAGCTTGCACTGTCACCCATTCTATCTGCACTAAACAATCCTTGGCTGTGGTGTTTATTTTGCAAAACGGCTGTTTATAAACTGTCCTTATTGTTTTCTATCCTTAAACACATTCCCTCAATCCCAAAATGTCCTGACTGCACTGCAAGTGAGGGAGGCCCTGGCACAGGGTGCCCAGGGAAGCTGTGGCTGCCCCTGGAATCCCTGCAAGTGCCCAAGGCCAGGTTGGAGCAACGTGGGATAGTGGGAAGTGTTGGGGTTGGAACCGGATGAGCTTCCAAGTCCCTTCCAACCCAAACCATTCTGGGATTCAAACACCACTTTCATCTTGCAAAAATCAGTTCAAAAATTTCACTACTATCTACATATTTCTACTTTAACTTACACATAAATCCTCTTCCCTACTCAGCTGCACTCCTAGAGAGTGTGAGCAGCCCCTCATCCTCCACAGTTTTTTGGGAAGCCTGGAGCAGCTCTCCATACCCGTTGGCCCAGTTGTTCCCAGAGCCTTGCTTCTGGCAGAAGTGGGACTGGTGGTTGTATTTCCAGCAGCCAGACCTGGCAGCCATGGATAAGGTTTGGCTGATGACTTTGGGCTCCATGTCCACCAGCACAGCTCGGGCCACGGGCACTGGAGAGGAGGAAAAGAAGAATTAAGATTAATGTGCCTCCACATTCCTGTAAAATGGGTGGATTTGGATGGGTGCCATGTCCCAGGTGACATTCCTCCCAGCCACTAATGGGACAGGCACAGAAAGGATCTGGCAATGCCCATAAACTGTGCCAAAGACAAATCTGAACTCCAGACACCACGAGATCTTTCAGGAAAGAAACCCCTTCACGTGTTTGACAACGTCAAATTTGGATGCTCTGGGTCCTACTCTGTGGTGTGACCCATCTACAGCAGGAAATGCAGATGGTTTGGAAGGAAAGGTTATGTTTTGTTTCCAGCTGTGCTGCTGGGAAACTGCCTTTGTCTTCTCAGCCCCTTCACTGCAGCGATTGTGCTTCCAGTTGGGACAGTCCTTCCAGACTGAAGGTAAAAAAAAAAACCACCTGTTTTATTCCTGTGTCCTGAAAACAGACCCCGTGTGTGGGGGGAAAAAAAATAAATAAAAGCCCTTTTAAAGATGTACCTCCAGATTTCTCCTCCTCCCAGAAAAACCTCTCCTTGCAGGCATCCTGGTAGGATTGGTTCTCCTCCCTGGAGCACAGCCCGTGAGTGCCGTGGATGTCACTGCACAGGGAGTGGAACACCTCGTGGCCAATCTGGTTCCCACACTGCCCCAGCTGGACAGTGACAATTGACATCCTCGATTCAAGCCTGAAAGAGAGATGATGTCTTTAGTAACTGTGGAAAAGATAGGGGGGGAAAAGCAGTTCTGGTAAGTTTCTGATCAGCTTTGCCGTTTTTTGAGGGTGGTTATACCACAGCCAGTGGCTGTTTCTGGGGAAAAGCTGCCTGGCTGCACCTCCTGCTGAGCGCCAGGAGAGAGGGATGGCACTTTGCAGGGAATCAAACTGGTAACTGCTGCTTTGCATCTGGAGGGAGCTGGAACCAGCCACGCAGCAAGGAAATTGTTTGTTTTCTAACTTTTGCTCAGTAGGGCAGGATAGAAACAAATGATTAGGATGTAAAAGCACAATAAGAAAGCGCCACGTGCCCCTAGAAACGTTGAGCCTGTTCAAAATTGTGGCTGATTTCCAGCCCTGTTCTGCTCCAGGCCTGATGCCAGAGCCTGCTGAGGTGACAAAAGGATTCCCTGGAGCATTCCCCTTGCTTCCAGCACGCAGAGCAAAGCTTTTCACCGGCGCGTTTTGACATTTTTCCCCACTCAGCATTTTACAGCAGCTCTGCTTTCTCGCTTTTCTACGCACAGAAACAAGGCCAGTTTGTTTTTTTAAAACTCCGGGCTGCAGTTCTCCATTCCCACCCCAGCTGTGCCGCAGCATTCCCGTACCAGCATTCCCTGGATGCTGCCGGTGCCTGTGCCGCCTTCTGCCGGCAGGTTTGTGCGGATTTGGCTCGCGGGGCGCGATTCCAGCGTTGCTGCGAGACCGAGAATAAACAAACACGTGAATTCTCCTCCTCAGGAAAGGCTCGTGTCCAACCTGTGCGACACCGCCAGTCTCTCCGGGTGGCCGTGCCCGCAGAGCCCCCTCAGGGCTCCCCCTCAGGGCTCCCCCTCAGAACCGCCGCCATGTTAGCCCCGAGCCCTCCCTCGAGCCCTGCCCGGCCCGGCGGACCCTCTGCCGGCGTCCCGATCCCATCCCGGTCCCGATCCCATCCCAGACCAGATCTTGATCCCGATCACATCCCGGTCCTAATCTTGGTCCCGACCCTGATCCTGGTCCCGATCCTGATCTTGGTCCCGATCCTGATCTTGGTCCCGACCCTGATCCTGGTCCCGATCCTGATCTTGGTCCCGATCCTGATCCCATCTCGATCCCGCTCCCTCAGCGCTCCTTTCTCCCCAATCCCACCCCATTCTCCCCCATCCCACCCCGCTCCCTCTCCCCTCACGCTCCTCTCTCCCCCTCACCCTGCTCGCGGTCTCTCCTCCGAAGTTCCCGCTCTGCGCACGCGCAGCGCTGTGTCCTGGCAGCGCCGCTCCCCTGCGGCCTCCCCCCGCTCAGCGCGCACGCTCCGCCCGCCGCGGCTCCTCCGCGCCTGCTCGGTGGCGGGGCCGTGCGGGCGGGGCGGGCGCGCAGGCGCGCTGCGGGCGCGCAGCCGGTGATGGCGGCGCTGCGGGGGCCCGGCCCATGAGGCGGCCCTGGGCCCGCGCCCCGGCCGAGCCACCACACAGCCATGGCGGGCGTGTTCGACATCGACCTGGACCAGCCCGAGGACGCGGGCTCGGACGAGGAGCTGGAGGAAGGGGTGAGAGCGGCAGCGCGGAGGCCGCGGGGCCTGGGAAGAGAGGGAGGGAGGGCGGGCGGGCGGGCGCGGGAGGCGCCGCGGGGGCCGCGCTGAGGCGTCCGGGGAGAGCCCGAACCTCCCGCGCCGCCCCATCCGGCCCCGGCAGAGCTGTGCCCCGGGGGAGTTGGGTACCGGCATCGCGGGGTCTCTCCCTGGCTCTGCCGGCACCCGCCCGGGCGACGGGGCCGGAGCGCGGCTCGCTCCACACTCGCCGCTCCGGCGGCCAAGCTGAAGGCGCGGGTTTGAAGCGGCGCGGTGGGCGAGCCGGAGGGTGTCGGTGTGCCGGGGGGTGTCGGTGTGCCGGGGGGTGTCGGTGTGCCGGGCTCTGTGGAGCACTTGGCGGTTCGGGGTGTCCGTCCGGGCTCTGCCGCGGCGCTGGGGCAGGGTTGTTGCGGTGTCTCTTCATATTTTTTTCTGGCGGTGCTGTTGCTTTTTTAAAATTTTTTAAACGTTTGGTGTTGTTTAAACTGCTACTGCATTTATTTTCTGCTGTTTAAACACCTGATGGCATCCTTCGAGTCCTTGAGATCGTGGAATGGTTTGGGTTGGAAGGGACCTTAAAGCTCATCCAGTTCCACCCCTACCATGGGCAGGGACACCTTCCACTATCCCAGGTTGCTCCATCCTGGCCTTGGACACTTCCAGGGATGGGGCAGCCACAGCTTCTCTGGGCAACCTGTGCCAGGGCCTTCCCACTCTCCCAGGGAAGGATTCATCCCACTATCCCATCTATCCCTGCCCTCTGGCAGCGGGAAGCCATCCCTCTTGTCCTGTCACTCTTGTATAAAGTTCCTCTCCACCTCTCCTGTGGACTCCCCTCAGGTCCTTCCCTCCAGGACACCACCAGCTGCTCCCTTCCCCTATTCCATATAAACTGTAGGATGTTTTTTGACAACTGAAAGCTCCTCGACCTGCGGGGAGAAGCTCAGTTTGTCACCTCAATAATCAATAAAACCCTTGGCTTAACCCCCCCCCTCCCCCCCGTAGTTGCATCAGACAGTTAACGCTGCCAGGAGCAGGTTCTGAGGGGGAGGCAGCAAAGTTGAGTTTGTTCTGTCTCCTGTTCCAATAATTCAGCCCCGGGGAACAATCAAACCATTCACTGCTTATTGTGGATTTAAAAACGTTGCTGTGACAGAAGTTTTTTTTGTGGAGCAGCAACAAATGGGTGTTGGCAACCTCAGCTGCTTCTCAGGTGCCCTTTGCAAACAGATAAAGGAGAGGGAGAACTGGGAGTGAAGCAGCTGGGAATCAGGGAATGTCGGAGCAGGGAAGAAGGGCAGCCCCAGGAATGTGTGGAGGGAAGGATGTTTCAGTGGAAGTTATCTCTGTGTGTGTCCTGCGAGGATCAGGAGGATGTTGCCGTTGAGATCATTAAAGTGGGATTGAGGTGGGAAGTCAGGACCGTGTTGTCTCACCTCTGGTACCTCCCAAAGCCTCGGGGGGAGCCCAGACACACGAGCTGTGGGTTGGAACAGGCGCAGCCATCCTGGAAAACCCAAAGGATTGTTAAATGCAGCCTTTCCTCAAAAGCCCTGTGGTTGTTTGCACTAATTATTGTGGTGTGAAAAACCACCCAGCCCCACTGTTTGTGTTTGTGAGGATAAGACTGAAGGAGTGGAAGGAGAACAAACCCTGACACAGCAGAACGGTCCCCAAAGTGAATTTTGGCCGAGTTAACACTGGGAATGAAACCCAGAGTTCACAGGAGCAGGAGCAGCTCAGGGAAACTTTTCCAGAAGCGTTGGGTAACTGCAGGGGTTGCTCTGGGAACACGCTGGCTGTTTATTCTCTGTGTTTGTGGAGTTGTTTGTTTTTTAAATTCAGTTGTTGGCCTCAGGAGTGGGGTCAAGGGCAGCCTCAGTGGGTTTTTGGGAAACAAGTCAATAAGCTGTGTTTTAGTAAATGCCAGGAGCTGGAATCAAACCTGAGCTTTGGGCCTCCCTCAGTGCCTGTGGTGCTTGGAGGGGTTAAATCCCCCTTTAAACCCACCCTAAATGAACCGACCTCTGTAAACTTGAACGTTTAAATGGTCTGGAAGCTGCTGAAAATTGCTGGTTTTCTTTGGTCAGTGTTTTTCTCACTTAGATAAGATTTGCAATGCTCTCCTTGGGCTGCTTTTTGCAGCTCTCAGTGGTTTTTCTTTCCCTTCTGTTTGTCTGCATTTCACAGGTCGCTCAGTTTCTCTCCTTGCCGTTGTCATTTTTATTTTGTCCATACTTTCAAAAATCACAGTTGTGGGGTGTAGTTAAGCTCCCTCGAAGCTGGCCCATGGAATTCCATGTGCATTCATTCCAGCTGTCTGCTTGCTCTGCACTTCTCTGGCCTCGCAGAGCCCCAGTGAGAGGGAAGTGTTATCTTGCAGGAGGGATCAGGTTGAAAATTCTCTGAAGGAAATGTCTCTTCAGAATTAACCCCCGTTCCTCGCTGGTGGCTGGTTCTGAGGCTGAGGTGCCTGAAGTTTCCTTTAGTAATATTTCCATGGATTAATCTGTGGGGTGATGGTTGGTCAGGAGAGGTGTTCAGCATCAGAGTAAAGTTGAGCTTTAATATAGAATATAATTCTATTTTGAATTATTCTCAATGTAGAATAATAAAACCTCCTCTGTGTATTATTTGCTCTGTTCCCATCATCTTGTTCTGATTTGCATAGTGCTGTAATAGGGCTTTCAAATCCACATGTCAGAGCAACTACAAAGAAAAATGCCCTATCTGAATGCTTTTCAAATTGCCCTGGGGCTGTGAATTTGTGCCTGGGTAACAGCACAGCCAGGTAAGGCAGGGCTTCTCTCTGGCTCAGACAGGTGCAAGCACTGCAAGCCTTGCCCAGAATTTTGTGGGTTTTTTTTATCTTCTGCTGAGAATTTGTTATCCCCGACCTTTAGACTTGTTTAATTACCTAACTTAAAATGACATGTATTTCTTTTTAATGTAAGAAGCTCTAAGACACAGCAGGGCATTTCTTTGTAATGATTTTTTAATTTTTTTTCTAATTAATCTTCCTTCTCCCCCTCCCATCCCCAGGGTCAGTTAAGTGAGAGCATGGACCATGGAGGAGTTGGCCAATATGACCTGTAAGTTGCTGCTGGAAAATACCCTTTATCATACCCATAACTTCTCATTTTGTCCCATTATTAAAGCAACTAGAAAATGTTGTCACTCTGGCTCAGCTTTGTGTCATTTCTGGACATTTCACTTTTGCCTCACGTTCCAATTTATGAATTGTATCTTGAAATAATAATAATAATAATAGCAAAATCCTGGTGAAACCTTGCTCCTGTTAAACTTTGGCAGAGCTGCAACACAATTGAGAAGCGTCCTTAAATTCTGGATCAGACTTCTGTGGCATCTCACAGCTTTTCCTGCCAGGTGTCTGTGTTCTGGGGGTCTCCCCAGGACTGCTGGGGCTGCTGAGTGTGAGCTGACCCTTAATCATCCCCCTCAGAGCCTCGTGTTCCCTCGAGGTCTCGAAGAGGTGTCTGAGTCAGTGCGAGGCTTTGATCTGCCAGACTTAACTCTGTGCATTGAAATGCAGGGATTTGAAGGAGATCTTGATCCTCTAACCCCCCAAAATATGCAGGTTGACACTTGGAGCTTTGCGGATGAGATTTCTTTCCTAAACAACATTCCTGGTGCTGAGGGTTCTCCGGGGAGCCCTTCCTTGGTCAGGCTTGCCCCAGAGCCACTTGCTTCCTTTCAGTGCTCCTTCAGGGCTGTCAGGCAGGCTCATATCCCTGTTTTTTTTCTCTGCAGGGGCATGGAGCATTGTGAGAAGTTTGAGATCTCAGAGACCAGCGTGAACAGGGGCCCCGAGAAGATCCGTCCCGAGTGCTTCGAGTTGCTGCGCGTGCTGGGCAAGGGCGGCTACGGCAAGGTGAGAGTGATTCCTGCTGCCTCCCTGCAGCTCCAAACCCAGGGCCTGGCACAGGGCTCTCTGCTGCCCTGGGCAAGCTCTGGCCTTCCCAACCTGCTTCCTGCAGAGTTCATTGTGCCAGGGGGCACCCCCATGGTTGGGGTGGTGGGACAGAGTTCCTGGCGGAGCAGCTCTGGCAGCCAGGAATTGTCCCAAACTGCTTCTGGGTCCCCCCACCAGCTCTGCCCCTTCAGGCAGCCGTGTGGTTTGTGGGTCACCTCACCTCTGTTTGGCAGAACTCTCGTTTCCAGCTCGATGCAGTTGTAACATCTGATTGCCTTTGTGTCGTTGTTCAGGTGTTCCAAGTACGGAAAGTGACCGGAGCAAACACCGGGAAAATATTTGCCATGAAGGTTCTGAAAAAGGTAACCTGGACGTTCACATTTCACTGGTACCTGAGTCTTTAAACAGCCTGTCCTTCCATTCAGCTTTTACAATTCTCTGGTGATTTATTATACCTAAAAATAAGTTCTAGATTTTAGTATACGTACAGTTGATACCCAGGTAGGGTTGAGATTCGAATTAAACTTGGAATTTTTCTGTCTGGGTAGTTCTTAGCAGCTCATTTAAATGGGTCAGGAGGTCCCTTCCAACCTAAATTACTGTGTAATTCTATGAAATAAAGACTTAGGCTGTGGTGACTTTATTTTTTTGTGCTGTTACTGACTCATACATAGAGTGGTGGTTTAATAAACTCAGAATTGAACTCTGTATAAAATCTGCCTGGTTTAACATGTTCTGGTGCTCACCTGTCCCTGCTTTCCACAGGCAATGATTGTAAGGAATGCCAAGGACACGGCTCACACGAAAGCAGAGAGGAATATCCTGGAGGAAGTGAAACATCCCTTCATCGTAGACTTAATTTACGCCTTTCAGACTGGTGGAAAACTCTACCTCATCCTTGAGTATCTCAGTGGTCAGTATTAGAAATTGTGTCACCTGCTGGGGTTCTACACCACCAAGAAATTGGGTTTCTCACCCCAGGAGTAAAAGGCCAGTTCACAATTGGCTTGGTGTCTTAAAATGGGAAGCAGCTCAGTATTAAAAACACCAAAAACAACAAAAATAAACTTTATAATTCAAGGAAACTTGGCATTTTTGTGTGTTGCACTAAGATTGGGTGCAGTCAAAGAGTCTCTGAGGGTTTAGTTCCTGCAGGTTCTTCATGACACGAGAAATTATTCCCTTTATTTCAGGGGTAAGGAGACAATCACAGATGAGAAACAGTTTTCTCAAAGCTGTACCAACAAAAACCAGAGACAGAAATGCTCCTTTTTTTTCCCAGCATTTCTTTAAGTTGCTGGAATTTTGAGAGTAGCAGAATAGTGACTGAGGGTTTTTGGGTGAAACATGTTGTACAGCAGGAAAAAATACCTGTTGCTTGTATTTTTCCTAGAAAACAGACTTTTGGCTGACAGAAAATGATACTTTCACTCAGTATAATCTGTTTTTTTCTCGTGACAGGAGGAGAACTATTTATGCAGTTAGAGAGAGAAGGGATATTTATGGAAGACACAGCTTGGTAAGTGAAGCTATTTTTGTAAATTAATAGGTTGTTTTTTTGGGTTTTTTTTCCAAGTGCTTAAACTCTCTGTAAGTAGTCAGTCATTTCCAGCTGATGAAAGGAGCAGCTCAGTGGGTTTGGGGAGGGTGTCTGTGCTGCTCTAATTCCACTCTTTCCACACAGGAGGGGCCCACTGGGGGTGTTTTCCACAGGGCTGTGCTCAAGGAGGTGTTCTGGGTGCTGGGAATGATTTGCTGGGAATGCAGTTCTGTTTGTTGTGGATCCACAACCCCTTTCCCCAGCTGGCTCCAGAGCCCCCAAGTCACTGCAGTGGCTGTGTTAAGTGATAATTATTAATGCAGGAGGAAAATACTTTGGAGCAGTGATACCTTACAGATAGACAAGCTGGAATTATCTCTTACTGAGCAGGCTTTGCACTGAGTGCAGCTGTTCTTCCATGGCCAATGCCCTGGGAATGCTCTGATGTCCACGTGGGACTCTTGCTGCTGCTGCTGCTTCATGATTTCTTCTCAGCTTTGCCATCTGGGTGTGGTTAAACACATTTGAACCACTAAAAATGGTTCAAGATTCAGATTCCTCCCAACAGATTCATTCTAAGGTGCCTCCTGAGCAGGTAAACCCAATGCTAATGTGTCATTTTGTGGTTCCTGGGTGACTTTTAGACAAACCAGCCTCAAAGGCATCATTGTTTCTCATTCCTTCTCTCCCAGACTGCTTTCAAGGAACTGCTGCTGGGTACAGAACACTTCTCCAGCTGCTTTGCATGACTGAATGTGTCTAATTTTGTGGCACATGTTTCCCTTTCAGCTTCTACTTGGCAGAAATCTCGATGGCACTGGGGCACTTGCATCAAAAAGGAATCATCTACCGGGATCTGAAGCCAGAGAACATCATGCTCAACCACCAAGGTAGAAATGCAGCCCTGAGTCAGCCTGACAGGCATTTGGAAATGCAAATGGTCACCACTCTTAAGTGAAATTCAGTAGCCCGCTTTCTTAGGTTAAATCTCTGTGTTTAACTACATTTGTCTGCCTGTGAGTGAGTTCTGGTGGTTTGTCTTGTTTCTCTTCAAGCGGCAACGTTTAGTTTTTATCTTTGTGGGATTACCTCGTTCTGTTTTATGACTTCATTGCTTTGTCAGACCATTGAAAATATCTGGAAGCAGCTCAGAGCTATTACAGACCCACGCTGAATTTTCTGCTTTTTAATGTTCCTTACAGAGGTGTCAGAATTCTGATATTTTCTGTATTTTCATTTCAGGTCACGTCAAACTGACTGACTTCGGATTGTGTAAAGAATCTATCCACGATGGGACAGTCACACACACATTCTGTGGAACAATTGAATACATGTGAGCTGCATGATGAAATACAAAAGTTATTACTCTGCCCTGGGGGTAATGCCTGAATTTTACCCTTTTTTTAAACTGATGGTTCACGAGTTCAGCCACTTAGGAAAACTTTCCTTGCTCAGTGTGGGTTTACTTGAAAACTGGGAGTCAGAATTGGCATTGAGTTGTTAAAACACCTTCACATTTTCAATTTTTTCTGCTCACAGGGCCCCTGAAATCCTGATGAGGAGTGGGCATAACCGTGCTGTGGACTGGTGGAGTCTGGGGGCATTAATGTATGACATGCTGACTGGAGCAGTAGGTGCACAGTTATAATTGCATGTATTTCCCTCTGTAGCTGTTGTAGTTCCCTATATCCTCACTCAGATGCATGTAGCAGTACAAATAATTTAGATATAAAGCAGACTGCAAATAAGAAATAAGTTGTGTTCACTGCAGTCTTGAGCTGCTTTTATCCAAAGAGTGATTTTCGAGTCCTGTTTGCGGTAATTTCTCCTGCTTTGTAAATGACTGAAGTGAGTTGTGTGTGCACAAATAAGAGACCTGAACAAGTCCTGTTTTTCCTCCCCTTCCAATGGTGCTTTCCAGCCTCCTTTCACTGGGGAGAACAGAAAGAAAACAATTGACAAGATCCTCAAGTGTAAACTCAACTTGCCTCCCTACCTCACACAAGAAGCCAGAGATCTGCTTAAAAAGGTACAGTTTTTATGCCTGTCAGTCCTGTACATTATGGAGTAAATAAAAACCACAGTGACACCACCGTGGCTGCTCAGTCCCAGCCTGATTTATCACTAAATCACTCACTTTGGTGGTGTGTGGTGCAGGAAGGGATGTTCCTTGAAAATCCAGCCGTTTTCTAACAAATGCAGATTTTCTGATCAGCCTCTCTGCATCCTGCAGTGCTCACTCGAGTGATCAGTCCTGTCAGGGCTGGTCCAGTCAGGACAGCACAACTAATTCTGCTTTTCTGGATGTTGTTGTTTCTCATGAAGCTGCTAAAAAGAAACGCTGCCTCACGTCTAGGAGCTGGTCCTGGAGATGCTGGAGAAGTTCAGGTAACTTGCACTGCGCTCAAGAACTCTTAAATTCACCTCCCTGAGAAGAAAACAGCTCTGAGGGTCCATCAGGGCAGGAGAGTTTCTGTCTGTCTGGAAGGGGAAGGAGCAGAAAGGCTGCCAGGTGTGACAGCTGATCCCAATCTGAAAGCTTGGAAGCTGCCCAAGAGCAGCTGTCTGGATAACTGGAGATTTGGAAGATAACTTCTGTTCTTCAGCTCTGTCTTCCAGCAGATCTTTCCTACCAGTTGTCCACTGCTAATTGCGCAGCCCAGGTGAAAACCCTGCCAGCCCTTGCATTAGTGCAGCTATTCCAAGGGAAAAGTTAAAAACCAAGGCAGAGGTTTAGTCCCTGTTGCTTCCAGCTTGAGTTTTGTTTTTTTTGGTGCCATTAACAGCATATTAGAGAGTTCCTTATTTCCCAGTTCTGATAACTGGGCATTAATACGATGTTTTGTCGTGGTTTTTAGGTATCTGCCTTTAAAAGCTGAGGTGTTTTGTGTGTGAACTGGCTTTTTCTAACCCTTTCAAGGAAAACATTGCAGGGAGAGTTGTCCCCCTGGGAGGAGTGGTATCAATTCTCAGCTCCTCGGATGTAGAACTGATTGCACTGAAGCCAATTGGGATTTTGGAAGGAAAGCCAGCAGGGAAAGGGTGTGAGAAGCCCCTGTTAGTGGTTAATTGGGGTGGTTTGTGCCCCAGGGGAGGTGCTGACTGCGCTCTTGTAACCCCTGCAGGCTCACCCCTTCTTCAGACACATCAACTGGGACGAGCTGTTGGCACGGAAGGTGGAACCTCCTTTTAAACCCTTATTGGTATGTACTGGGAGTGCTGGGAGGCACTCCCTGTGTGCCTTTAGGAGAGGCCTTGATGTGGGATTGCAGACTGGAGTGCCACTGATTCCTGGCACTTGGGGTACAGCTTGGGTGACAGATTCAGAGAGGCTGAATCTGCTTTGTTTTGGATTCCTCCTGCTCCTCACCTGGAGGTTAAACAGACTCAGCTAAGCAGCTCACTCTGAATCTGCTTCTCAACCCTCTGCAGTGAGTCAGGCCTTAGGTTCAACTAAAATGAGTAAGAGCTGCTAAGCACAAGTCAATGAAATCACCTAATGAAGCATTTCTGGGTTTGGTTATCAATATTTACAGTGCCTCTTGTGCATTCTGGGCAGCAGTTAGAGCTTACCCCAAATGTGATGAGCTACCTCAAACCAGTCATGTGATGAACCAATCTCTTATTATCCCATTATCTCAAATTTTGATGTCTGATTTTCCTCTGGGTACAGTCAGCTACAGCAGCAGTGGGTTTTATCACCCCCACAGTTCCCAACTGCTAAAAATCTCCCTTTAAACTGGCTCAGGCATCACTGATGTCCAGCAGACCTTTTTCCCTTCACCCTTGGGAATGAAATTCAGGAAGGCCTCAAGTCTGCTATTTCTGAATGAATTACTGAAGGTGGTTTGGGGTCTTTTTGTTATTAGCAATGTTATGAAAGTTACTTGTACAGAGCAGGTGCTTCCACGGTTGCATGAGGGTCCACAAATGAATCCATTGCCTTTCCACAAACAGTGAGAGGAGGGAACCTGGAGTTACTGTTGTTCTGTGGCCAAATTAAACAATATTCTTCACAGTCACTTATTCCAGAGTTGTCCTCCATCCCTCACACTTCTGTATCTGCAAAAATGGGATTAAATTATCTGGAGAGGTTCCACATTCTGAGAGTTGCAACTGTTGTGGTTGTGACGAGGGCTGAACTTGGCAAGAAAGTGGCGTTGTCATTCTAAAAGCTTCTGTTTGTGATTTGAGATTTTTTTTTTTTAAAGGCATCTTTTTAATTTGTGTTCCTTTTTGATCCATAATTTTTGCCCCTCCCCCTTGCCTTTATTTCTCAGTGTCAGTGCCCATAGTGACCTCCCACTGGCAGCGACAGGATTCCGACACCACTCCAGGGTTTTCCTCCAGCACAGCTCTGCCAAAAACCTATGGAATGAACTCCATCCAGAGGCTGCACTGGTTGATATCTGTAATATAAACCCTTAACCATTTTGTTTTTGCAAAGCAATCTGAAGAGGATGTGAGCCAGTTTGATTCAAAGTTTACACGTCAGACACCTGTTGATAGCCCAGATGACTCAACTCTCAGTGAAAGTGCCAACCAGGTCTTTCTGGTGAGTGGGGAATGGTTGGAGAGGGAGGTTCTGGCTGGGAACAGGGTGGGCACTGCAGCTCAATCCATTCTCCTGAATCCCACCTGCTGCCTGAAGCAAACTCTGATGGCTGGACACGAACTCTGTGCCAGGCTGGAGATGCTGAGGAGCTTGGAGGACACTTTGATGTTGCTGATGTTTCCTTGGTACCCCAATCAGCAAGTGGGGCCTCCTCTGTGGCCTGTAGGGTTCTGAGCAGAGCTGCATCCTGAACCCTGGCCTTGGGTCATGCAGAGAGGACAACATCCATTTACAGAGCACAGTTAATCAGGCTGAGTGTGCCTGTGGGATCTGATGGGAGCATCAGCCTGGCAGCTCCCTGAATTCCCAGCAGTCTGCCCTTACCCCTCCTTTGTAATTCCCTCATCGTGGTGGGGTTCTCATGTGCTCACTGCAGCGATGCCCAGTGTGAATGTTGCCTCCCTTGCTGCCTTGCAGGGTTTCACCTACGTGGCTCCATCTGTACTTGAAAGCGTAAAAGAGAAATTTTCTTTTGAACCAAAAATCCGCTCCCCTCGCAGGTTCATCGGCAGCCCAAGGACCCCAGTCAGGTACCTGTCTTTTATCCCTTCTTTTTTCCTTCTTTCCTTGTTTTGTAACACACCTTTGGCCAAGTGGAAATTAAAAATGCAGCCTTGCCTGCCAGCCCAGCACTTCCATTTGAGTTACAGGATGGATCCTGTTCCACAAACCACGTTATTAAAGACAGATCCGGGGGGGTTGGCAGCACGGGAAGCACTGATGTGCTGCTTTTCAGTGCTGATACAGCCTCATTCCAGTGACTTTGGTTCACCAGCCCTCTGGAACTGTTTGAGAACATCCCAAGAGCTTCGTGCTGCTAAAGAACCACGTTAGTCCAGGAGGAATCGTGTCAGTGCAGTCAGGGCTCTCTGCTCAGAGTTGCAGCTTGGAAGGACTCAGCAATATCTCGGTACTAACAAAGAACCAACCAGAAAAGATGGTTATAGAATCATAGAATTATAGAATCAGATGGGTTGGAAAGGACCTCTGAGATCATCAAGTCCAACCTTTAATCCACTACCACCACAGTTACAGGCCGTGGCACTCAGTGCCACATCCAATCTCCTCCTAAACACCTCCAGGGATGGAGAATCCACCACCTCCCTGGGCAGCCCATTGCAATGCCAAAATCAGCAGTTATTTATGATTAATTATTATTTCTTGAATAATTAGGTATTAATTAACTAGTTAGCCTCCTCCCCCCAAGCTTAGCAAAATTAGTGGGTTTATGATTGAGCAAAAATTAGTGGGTTTTTTTTCCTTCCTGATAAGCCTTTCACTGATTCTGCAGTCACTTAGAAATACATCCTCAGCTGATAGAAAGGTACTGCACAAGAGACAGTGGTGGAAGCTACCCATGGAAAATCCCTCAAACCTCTGGAAGTGGAAGGAAGGATTAAAAATGCTCCTCAGCAGGCATTGAGAGGAGGCTCAGGGGTGACCTCATCACTCTCCCCAACTCCCTGAGGGGAGGCTGGACCAGGTGGGGGTCAGGCAATCAGCAGGAGGACGGGAGGGCAAGGAGAGGTTTAGGTTGGATATTAGAAAGAAGATCTTTACAGAGAGAGTGGAATTGGAATGGGCTGCCCAGAGAGGGAGTGGGGTGGATTCACCGTCCCTGGAGGTGTTTAGGGACAGCCTGGATGTGGCATCAGTGCCGTGAGCTGGTAACCACAGTGGGGTTGGATTGAGGCTTGCACGTGATGATCTCAGATTTCTTCCCACCCTGTCAATCCTGATCCCACGACTCAGCACACCCCTTGGTTCTGCCCCCCCCCCCACACACTCTGATCCCTGTGTTCTCTTGTCTCCCAAGCCCTGTCAAGTTTTCCCCGGGAGAGTTCTGGGGCCGAGGCGCTTCAGCAGGCACGTCCAACAGCCAGCCCGCCGTGGAGTACCCCCTGGAGAGCGGCGGCATCGAGCAGATGGACGTGTCGGTGTGCGGGGAGGCGTCGGCGCCGCTGCCCATCCGGCAGCCCAACTCGGGGCCCTACAAGAAGCAGGCGTTCCCCATGATCTCCAAACGGCCCGAGCACCTGCGCATGAACCTATGACAGCCCCGCCAGTGACGTCATCACAGTCAGTCCTTGCACAGAGACACTCGCAAAGCAAAGGAAAAAAAAAACAACAACAACAAAAACGAACGGATTTTTCTTCTTCTTCTTCCTTTTTTTTTTTTTTTAATTTTTTTTTTTTTTTCCTGTCGAATCAATGGTGCATA